TCTCCCTTTCATAACTAAAATTTTTCAATTCGCAAAAATCGGAATCGAGTTGAAAATGAAAACCGTTCACAAAACGATCGATAAAAAGTATAAACTTCGTCATTTCCCGCAGACACATACCCCCTCCCCCTGAGCCACTTACCCAAATGGAGTAGCTCTTCTTTTTCCAAGTCTGGCTTCTCAGCAAGATCCTTCAATCTGATAGAAAGAAAATTCCGAGAATTTTTTCAATACCACTCCATCGTCACTTCTCCAACATCCTCATTTATATTATCAATCGGGGCGGTTTCTCTCAAAGACAACCACCACTAACCCAAAATTTGGTATAAATTCACCCTCCCTAATTCTACCCCGACATTTCAGAGAAGTCCAGAAACATCAACGCCCACTACTGCATCGAGTATACCGACACCATGACAAATCTACGGCAAGATATTATTTACAAAAAGGAAAAGTTCACCGTAAATTCCGTTCATCGATGAGTGATTCAAAACAGGGACGTAAAAACGCTAGAGATGCACACATATTACTCCCAAAAATACGGAAAAAAATTTACAAGGAAAGTAAAAAACACAAAAATTTATCACCATCGCCAACAACAATCCAGCCTACTTCTCATGCTCTCCCTTCTCCTCCTTTTCTCCATTCAAAGTCGGGACGAAGCCTCCAGAGGACCCAAACACGATCGGAGTCGTAACAGGGGGTGCTGTTGAAGGTCCTCCAAAGACGAACGATGGTACACCACTCGGAGGGGATACCCTATTACGGAAAACAAATATCCCCAGCAGGGCGTGGCGACGCGGTGCATTTTTACGATTCTCCCAAAAACGTGCAAAACTCGTACGACTCGTATTCCCATTCTAAATCGCAGTTGATATTGAGATTAAAAGTTGGGTATTGAGATCACCGTTGTTGTTATGGGGATGGAAGATGATGAATAATCATTCGCCGCTTGAGAATATTCAGAGCTACGAATCACTTCCACAATTGAAATAATTAGCGAAAAATTAATAAAAAATTGTTGTAATTTTCAGTACAAACTCCCGATCTCCTTCCTATACAACAACACGGTAATCACCATAAACTCCATCCTTCCTCTCAACACGAGATCGAATATTAAAAACCATACAAATTACGAACGGTGTAGAGTACAACAAGGCGCATAGTTTCAAACCCCTTACGTTTCAGTAGTGATTGAGTTAGTCGATGACGATGCGCCAAACACGAATGAGTTGCCAGTAGTGGTGGTAGCAGCTGCAGCAACCGCCTCAGTCGTTTGGGTCATGCCAAAGGTAAACGTAGTCGTCGTCGGAGGAGAAGGAGGAGGCGAGGAAGTTTCCTTGGACACCCCAAAGCCTGTCGGCTTAGGACCTGACCACAACCCTCCCTTCTTCATCTGTTGGTCCACTTTCCCCCAATCCGAATCTTATAGGGTGAACGCTATCTCATAATGTTACACTTCCTATCATATTGTGACAGTCTTCTGATTGTCGTTAATCTTTCCGGAAGATTTTCTCTACCTTCAACAGTCAAGTAAACACGGAGTAAATTCACCCACGACAAGATAAGACCGAATCATTTACCAAGGCCCTACCGGTCTTGTCATCAGCACTTGAATGAAACATAGAAATCAACTTTATCTTTTGCTCCTCCTTCTCTTTCTTCAACCGTTCCACATCCTCAGCGCTCAAGTTCGGGTTCGGCTGAAACACTATCCAAATACTCTCATGTCAACCTTCACAACTCGCGAACTTGAAAACTACCCCCCCCCCCCCGATCAAAGCCCGATCTACTTCATCTACCAAACGGCTCGGATATAACCTGCCTTATTCCATCCTAGAGATAGAGAATGCATTTTTTTATTCTTCCACCGACCCAATATTCGAAACCCTGGATAGTGAACAACAAATTTCACTAAATTGATCAAAATTATGAACAAAAAAATTTCCAAATTTTCCAATTTCCTATCCTCCAAACTATATATTACCAAAAATTTGAATATCACATCACCGGATTCTAATGGTGAATACACAGCCAGAGGGACAAGGTAATTCACTCGGTTAAGAGAACAACGCAACCGGAGGAATACATGTTCGCTTTCCTCAGCTGAACCAAGGAGTTTCCTAACGACTTCGAGTAGAAGTGTACATATACTCATCCTCCTTCCTCCTCTCCTTCCCTTACTACCGCTTCACATAC